GTTCAGATTAGCCCAGTACCAATGCCACTGATGTCTCTCCTATGAGCTAGTGGATCACCTTTGAAAGGATACTTCTAAAATGCAATCGTAACTAGGCACCTGTTCGTGTCTCTGAAATGCACCATACGCAAACTGTAAAAGTGCAGTGAGGTTGCATGGAAATTGGAATGCTTAAAAATCTATAATGTAAATAAATTAGTGTAATTTGGGGGTATTAAATTGGCTGGGATTTTGTAAGAGTCATAAAATATCCATGCCTTTTGACTAACTCTGACCAACTTCTGGGAATTTATTGCTAGAAAAAGTTTCAAAAGAGAGGAAACATTTTTGTATTTATTTACCATGAGTTAAAAAAAAAAAAAAAAGATTCTACAGAAAGAAAATGGGTAAATTACAGTATGTCCCCTTGAGGAATTCTTTTGCAGCCATCACAATTATAATTATTTAAAAAAAAACAGGGAGAAGGATGGGAAAAAGCTTGTGAAGTAATCACATTAGGTGGGGAAAACCCCAGACAGCAAATTGTAAAGCCTGCGTGTGCAAAAGGATGGAGCTAGAGAAAGACGATGGAAAGAGAACCAGAGTGCCTTGTTGGGGGCTGTGGGACTGCGAGAGGCCTTGTCTTGCTTCTCTTTGGATTTCTGATCATATTGGCTGTGCAGTGAGCAACAAGGAAGGACACAGGTGAGCTCCCCGGGAAGGGCAGCTGATTGTCAGCCGTCCCCATATGGACACAGCTTAGTCTGGGATCCTGGACGGGGGCAGGACTAGGGCTGGCAGGTGCTGAGAGGGCTCTGCTGACGGGCAGGGCCCGGGCCTCCAAGGGCAGAGGACCAGGTGACCCAGGACGTCCTGAAGAGGCCTGGGGGGGCAGTGGGAGCTGGGGAGAGACAGGGAGGAGAGGAGTGGGCGCCTCGCGCCCTGGCCTCTGGGCAACTGTGGCCTTAAAGCAGTCCTGTCCTGTGATTCTGATTCCAGCCAAGGAGCTCCCACCGGCCCCTTAGCCACTCCCAGTCCCAGCTTCAGAACGGGAACTGCCCACCTCCGTGTCCTTCCCACCTCTGACAGGCTGTGCTGTCTCTGGGCTCCAGAGACTGAAGGGAGGACGGGGGTCTTTCTGCTGCACGCCTGCCGGGTCTCGTACTTGTCACCCAGTGTGGCTGGAATACGGGCAACACCCTGGTGTCAGGTTCCAGTGCTGGCCTCTGGGGATCTGTTCAGGGGACCATTGTGGGCTGTGACAGGGCCTCCAGTCCTTTTCCCCCGAAGCTCTGCTTGGGCTGGGTGCCCTGTGGTGGACCTTCCAGGGTGGAGCCGTGCTGGGAGCCCTGGTGCAGGAGTGGGGAGGCAGGCTGTCGGCAGTCACCCCCACCCTCCTGGCCTCAGCCCCCTCATCTGTAGAGTGGGGGAAACATCCAGCTCAGCAGAGACGGTGCAGACCCAACCCAGGGGCTGACTCTGCAGAGCCCTGAGGAAGCTGAGCAGGGCCAGCTTGGGGCATCTCACTGGGCTCTGATGCCCAGAAGGATGCGTCCATCTTTCCCCATATCTGTCCCGTCTTTGCACATCTTGACAAACCACTTAGTATCCAAACACCACCTTTCCAGGGATGTGGACCAACTAGAGTGTGTGTGGAGGGGGTCAGCCATGATGCACAGAGGCTAGATCCCTTTTTTTTGGTACTGGGGATCAAACTCAGGACCTTGTGCCTGCAAGCAGGCGCAGTGCCACTGAGCTAAATCCCCAGCCCTAGATCTCATTTTGAGAAAATAAAAGAAAGAACTGCAGAGTTTAAACCAGAAAAGATATCATACAGCAAGAACATAAGTGTCTTTGGCTCAACAGGTTTCTTGTGGGAAGACTTGAGTTCACTCACTCTCTGCCTCCCCAAGGGGCAGATGGGAGGATGGAAAGGCAGGCTCATTTCAAGCCTGCATTGAACAGAATGCAGAATATTCCAACAGTCAGAACTAACCAACAAGCAGTGTAAGTAGAGCCTGGGTGACCACTTAGCAGTGCCACCTTTTCAGATTAAGATCGAGGTGGGCAGGGCTCTAGGGCCCCAACCGCCTCTGAGCCTCTCCTGAGATGGCTCATCTCCTGCAGGAGGGGTGACCACCGAAATGCTGTCCTTCCAGAAGCATCACTGGGTACTGTAGTCACAGATCTTTATGTGGCCCCCAAACCCCCAAGACTCTTCGCCCGCCCCAACCTAAGTTCTGGAAGAGAACTTCATCTGTCCTCGGACACATCGTGTAACCACGTTTCTGAGTTCCAAGATTTCCAAGGTGGTATTCACTCTGTGCCCCACCTTCCTATTCCCCCTCCTCTGTCCCTCCCAGGCTACTGGTTTCCATTTCCTGGCGCGTGGAGCAGAGTTGGGGACATGCAGCCCAGATGCCGTAATCCCGGGTATGCGGTGTGCAGGGGTCTGTGCCGTGCCTGACCTCCAGAGCACAGGGATGCTAGCGTCAAGCACCTGGCTCCCTCCTCCTAGGGCTGTGAAGCAGCTGCTATAACCAAGGAAGGGACCCTCTCTAGGAGGAAAGGGCGGGAGTCTGAGGAAGGGCTTGTTTTCTGAGGATTAAAGTCAGGGAGCGAGAGGAAACAGTGGGAGGATGCAGAGAAGGGAGGGCATAGATCTAAAACCAGTTTCCACCTGCTCAAAGGCATCTGTGCTGCAGCAGAAAGAACGGGACCTTGGCCTAAGGGGACTACGAAATAAACGCCGTGTGCGGCCTTGAGCCTAGCTGGCCCATTCCTTCCAGAGCAGACTTGGGGCACAGCCCACGCTCTGGAGCAGGCCCTCTGAGTTGCAGTGACTCGCTGTGGTGCCCTGGGCAACCTTCTCAGGCCTAACTGTGAACAGGGATAATAATGTCAGTGGCTTAGCCCATTTGGGCTGCAGTAATGATGTGCCTTAGACTGGATAACTAACTTCTAAAGGACAGAAATTTATATCTCACAGTTCTGGACGTGGGAAGACTAAGATCAAGGTGCCAAGAGATGCAGGGTTTGAGGTGGGTCTGTTTCTCTTAGATGATGTTTCCTGGTGTCCGCACATGGCAGGAAGGGTGAGCAGCTCCCTGGTGCCTCTGACAAGGGCATAACCTCATTCCTGTGGGCAAGGCCCCTGTATCACTTTGGCAATTAGTTCCCCCCAATGGACTGGGGAAGGAGGACATCCAGACCACTGCAGGTGACTACCTGCTAAAGTCGAGGGGATCACAGCACCCCCGTCTTAAGTTAAACCCCAGAAACCTGCTCATACTCAACCACTTAGCAACATACAAAATACAAAATTTCCTAGGGACCAGCCCAGCAGAGGATACTTAGATCAGGGCAGTGGTGAGCAGCCTTGTGTGAGCCTTACAAAGACTTTAGTGTCTTTATAATGCCACATGAGATAAGTTAGACACAGAAGGTTAAAGATCGCAAAGTTCTCTAGTATGAGAAACCCAACACATAAGCAATTTAAAGAGCAGAATAAAAAAGGAATGGTAGGAGACAGGGAGGTAGACTGTGGAGATGGGAAGGGCATCTGAGGGGAGACAGGGCGAGGGTTGGGGGAGAGTAAAACTGATCACCATGTGCTGTGTATGTGTGCAACATCTCTGTGCCAATCCCCCAAGACGAATGTAATTATTATGCATGACAAACCTACACTACAAAAGAGTTGCAAAGTCTCAGCCAGTTTCTGCAGGCGGGACACCCGGCCAGAGGGTTCCACTGCGCAGACAGGTTTGGGACTCACACTTAGCTTGGAGCCTGGCACCCACGTCCCACCTGCTGGCCTCTGGGTACCTGGTCCTCCCTCCGCAGCGGCGCTCACGGGTCCCCCTCTCTGCTCACCCGCAGTGTCCAGACCGCGCAGCTCCCCCGAGGACCTGAAGGTGCTGACTCGCAACGTGAACCGGCTGAACGAGAGCTTCCGGGACTTGCAACTGCACCTGCTGCAGGCCCCGCTGCAGGCCGACCTGACCGAGCAGGTGTGGAAAGTGCAGGATGCGCTGCAGAACCAGTCAGACTCGCTGCTGGCGCTGGCGGGCGCGGTGCAGCGGCTGGAGGGCGCGCTGTGGGGGCTGCAGGAGCAGGCGACACAGACGGAGCAGGCGGTGGCCCTGCTGCGCGACCGCCTGGGCCAGCAGAGCGACGCGGCGCAGCTGGAGCTTTACCAGCTGCAGGTGGAGAGCAACCGCAGCCAGCTGCTGCTGGGGCGCCACGCGGGCCTGCTGGACGGGCTGGCGCGCAGGGTGGGCGTCCTGGGCGAGGAGCTGGCCGACGTGGGCGGCGCACTGCGCGGCCTCAACCACAGCCTGTCCTACGACGTGGCGCTGCACCGCACGCGGCTGCAGGACCTGCAGGTGCTGGTGAGCAACGCCAGTGAGGACACGCGCCGCCTGCGGCTGGTGCACCTGGGCATGGAGCTGCAGCTGAAGCAGGAACTGGCCATGCTCAACGTGGTCACCGAGGACCTGCGCCTCAAAGACTGGGAGCACTCCATCGCGCTGCGTAACATCTCCCTCGCCAAAGGTACTGCTTCCCCCAGCTCCCAGGCCCCCTGCCCAGGCCTTCCTCCCGCACCGCCCTCCCCAAGGGCCCAAAGTCCCTGTGGCATGCCCAAGTACACCTGTCCCTCTGACCCCATACCTCGACTTTTAAGTCTTGCCCCACAGGACTCTGAAAATTTCTGCCTGTGTGGACCAATAATTGCCTCCAGGGCCTATCCAGATCTCTCTCCTGGGTAAACCTCCCTAGGGTGGAGAATGGAGTCAAGAGAATTGTAACTGGGCATGGTGGTGTGTGTCTGTGATCACAGCACTGGGAGGCTGAGGCAGGAGGATTGCCACAAGTGGAAGTCCAGCCTGGGCTACATAAAAACCCTGCGGGGGTGGGGGCCCAGGGTGGCTAAGTGGGTGGGAGTCAGAGCTTGGGTGTTGGGTTGGGGCTGCCAAGAGCTTGAGTCATTGGTAGAAAGGAGGCATGGGGAGGTGTGCAGGGGGGGAGAGAAAGGCTCCTCAGTGTGTGCTCTGATGGGGGAGCCTCGAGGAGTGGAGGTTAATGAATTTTGATCTGGCCTTCTGGACTGTTGGGAGCATGGATTCATCCTAAATTGAATACTATATTTCATCTCACAGTGTGTTCATTTCATTTGTGGCTCTTAAATGTTACGGGGAAACTGTGCAGGCTTCCAGTGTGCTCCGGCATCCAGTCCAGAACTGGTGGCACTTAGATCTCCTGTGTTCAACTCCAGCCAAGTGGCCCCTCCCTCTCCCAGGCCCCCCACTGCAGGGCTCTTCTGTCAGGGGCTCCTCTCACACAGTGCACTGTCCCCACATCACCCCCTGCTCAGACCCCACCGCTGCTCCCCAAGGCCTCTGGGATTCATTAAAACCTCCCTAGCCTGACAGCAACGATTCGGCCCGAGCTGTAGGGCAGGTACTGAGCCAAGCGCGTCTCCTAGGCCATCTTCCTCAGGAAGTGGCCCTGTTCCCGCTGCACTGCTCGGGGCCTGAGGTCCAGGAAGCTTAAACAGCTTGCCCAGGTCACAGGGTACAGAGGGATTGGGACCCTGGCTTTCTGATCTGGGCCCTGCTGTGCTTTCTGTCACGTTCCCTTCCATCCTGCTTGTCTTCTCCTTCCTCCTATCTGGGGAGCACGGACTGAGCTGTCTGCAGGTATCGATACATCTCCCCCGAACCCGCACATCTCGCCCAAACCTGCCTTCTCCACAAGCCGCCTGGTCTCTGCCCCACACTATGCCCTGCTTCCCTGAGCTTCTGTCCTGGCGCCTTCCATTTGCATCATCCTTTCCACTTTCTGGTGTGTTCTCCTGTGCATAGTTTTGTTTGAAAGTGGGGCCTGACAACAAAGCTGTGACTTTGGCTTAAGGCAGGTGTCACTACTGAGGGAGCGGCAGGATTTCAGCAAAAAACAACTGGGACTCGAGGAGAATTATCAAGGCCATATGGCTGGTAATGATGCAACCCAGGACTTCTTGCTTTCAATACATTTAATAAGGTCTAATTTGCATGTAATGAAATTCAGCCCTTGTAAGTGTTGAATTCAATGAACAGACTAGGACTTTTAATCCCAACACCCTGTGCTTGTTCTGCTGGCTGCAGTGCACGGGTCCATCTCTGCACCCTTAGGGCTAATGTGCAGACAGCTGGGACTCAGTGGACATTGGGACAACTGTTAAACTGTTAAACCTGGATGCCACCTGTTGATTGGGCCTGGTCACTTTGGGGTTTCACGTCTCAGAAGTCAAAGGAAGATGGGCTACAGTTTCTCCTTCCAAATCCACGCCCTGGATCTTGGCCTTGCCTATCTTTTTCCCTCAACTTCCCCTGCCTGTAGAGGTCTATCCCACCCTTACTAATGAGAAAGTCACCCTGATTTCTAAGCTACACTGAGCCGGACATTTCACAGACCTTCATTCTCCAAACAGATGCTCAGGACCGCTAGTCCTCACATCCCGCAAATGGGCAAATGGTGTTATTGTCCCCACTTGGTAGGTGAGGAACCTGAGTAATGTTCCCGTGGCTTCTCATGAAGTTGGCAAGAGGTAAAGCGAAGGTCTGAACTCAGAAACCCGGGTTGTTGCCACTGGCGCCCTGCTTCTAGCTGTGAGCAGTGGCACATTCTTGCTGTGTCTCCACATGGCGGAAGGGACACAGACTCTGGGGCCTCTTCTGTAAGGGCTCTAATCCCACTTGAGAGGGCGCCTCCCTCCTGACCCAGTCACCCCCAGGCACCGCCTCCTAGTGCCACGCCTTGGTGATTAGGTTGTAGCACATGAATTTGGGGTGGGGGCGCCACATTCAGACTGTAGCTCTGGGGCTCCTGGCTCTCTGCAGCTGGACACCACTCGGGCCCTCCAACTCTCAGTGTTGCCCTTTATCTGCCACCTTTTCCCTTTCCGACCTCCTCTCGGGATTGCCCGTAATCACCATTCAGTGTTAACAGAACTCTGCCCTGGCTTTTGGACAGGGATATTTTACCTGAGAAGCTTCCCTGCTTGCTCATCCCCTGTCTGGAGTGGCCTGGCTCCCTCACTTTGCCAAGTCCCTCTCTTAAAATCTTTAAACACACACACAAACGCTTGCATACCTACGTGCACACACGTTCACACAAACACACATAAATTCGCATACACACACCATACTCTTACCCTTGACCCATTCCTGGCTCAGAATCTACAAATACTCAGCTATGTGTATTTTTCATATAAGAGCGTATTTACATTATTCTTGAGCTTAGCCCAAATGGTTTTCATTCTCTCTCTTTGTTATGCAGTTTTCTATGAATTTTGTCTCCGGTTTGTCTTTTGTGGACATTCACAGCAGGACTTTGTGTTTTCTGCTTTGGATTTTCAGCCTCAATCACATCTTTTGAAATCTGTGTGTGGATTTCAAAGGAGCCCAGAACTTAGATTATCAGAGAAGGGAGGCCCCACTGGAGGGAGAAAGATAGCCATGGAGAGAGGGAGGCCTGCCTCGGGGGAAGGCACCTCCAGGCATATCCGGATGGCCCTTGGCTGCAATGTGAGATCCCAAAATCACAGGACTGAGTTCTTGACAGCATCTTGCCCCATCCTCTTGTTCTGCAGTTGAGGACGACTCTGGGGTGCTGGTCCTCGTGTGACCAGAAGACCCCTCCCCAGGGCAGGACCGCACTGGGCACCGTGAGTGCTGGGCTGGTGGACTGGCCCCAAAATGAGACCCCAGCAAGTTTTCATGCATCAAGATGTATCTGTGGGCTGCTCTTTAAAGAGAAAAACACCATCTATGCTAGCAGAGTGGGAAATTAGTGGAGCAGGCGGTCCGGTTCTAGTGGGGTTTTGGATCCTGGGTGCTAAGGCTGGGCCTCTGGCTCAGTCAACAGGGATCCATTCTATGGAAGGTGATGAGCATCTCTGTGAATGGAACAACAAGCAGAACAGAGCCTCTCCTGCAGAGGACTAGGACATGTGGCCCGGGTGAGGTCCCGGGTGGATTGTGCGGCCCTCTGTCCCCTCCTCTTCCACATCTGACCTTGCTTCAAAGTGGGCAGAGGGTGTGCCATGGAAGAGAACAGCTGCACCCTGCCTGCCTCCCACTCTCTTTGCCCTAGAGGCTCAGAGGCCCGAGGCCAGGGCTGCCCCTCACCTGTTACGACTGGGTTTCCCAGGCTGTGAAATGGGGCTGACAGGGCTCCTCTGCCCACTCCCCAAGGGTGAGGGGAGATGCCCTGAAGGATGGCATGAGCGAGCTCTCAGACTGTACCGGGAGAGGTGCTGAGGTCCAGTGTTCCGTGACTTCAGGGAGCTGGGGGTAGAGCAGCCAGTGGAAGGGCTCCACCCTCGGTTGGGCGGGGTTAGCCTGCCTGGGATTAGGGTGCCTGGGGTAGTGTTTGTGATATGATATGGATCAGGGAACTGCTGGCCTTGGACCCAAGTCATCAGATGTCCTGATCACTTGTTCTGAGTGGGTCACTGCCCGGATTCCAGCACACAGAGTTCCCCGCAACCTACCCCTTGTCCTAGGACCTGGGAAGGAAGAAGGAGTTGCATCTACCCATGTTGGTTGGTCACTATGACAACCCTGGTGCTTCTTCTGGATGTTCAGTCATCGGTCTTCATCTGGCCAGAAGATGCCTCCACGTGGCATCTCACAGGGCAGGATTGCACTGGAGATGGTGTGGGCTATGCTGGTGGACTGGCCCTGAGATGGGACCCTAGCACCCTGCTCCTCCTTGTCCTTCTTGGCGGTTGGCAGAGATAAGACATGTGACAGTGTAGAAAGGGGAGAAGTGTAAGAGCTCATGCAGGCACCACCAGGGGCAACTAATCACATAACTTCCCCAAAGTCACCCTGCCAATCCCCATGGTGAGCCAGGCCTATTTGAGCCACAGGGTCACAGAGAGGGGACTCATCCTGCAGATAGACTTGGCCTTCTTGGGGACTGCAGTCCGAGGTGGGTGATGGCATCCAGCGAGCAGTCAGAGGCTGCCTGACCAGGCTCAAGGTGCTGCAGCCACAGTGTGGCACAACTGTATCCGAGAGCTAGGGGCTCTGATCATGGTGCCCTAAGAGATCAGAGAGCTAGGCATGAAAGCAACTTTCGGGCTTGGAAGAACTGGACCCTTAGAAGGGAAAGAGTTTGGCCAGTGTTGGGGGGTGGGGCCAGGAAGGGTTTTGCTGAGGGAGAGGAGAGTGGGTCCAGAAGCATCAGCAGCGGAAGCTCAGACTGGGAATGATCTGTGGCATCTCCCATGGGGGCTGGGGCTACTGTGCTGGGGGATGCACCATGCTGGGGGTTATCTGAGGACTCTGCATTCACTTGGTTGTTTCCATATTTTGGAGAGACCAATCTGACAGCAGTGCCCACAGTGGGGTGGAGAGAAGGGCCAGAGACAAGGGAGACAGAAGTGAGGCCATGAGGACCCAGCAATTGTGGTGGCAGCTCAGAAATGTGGCAGAGACAGGAGAGGGACTCTCCTCCAGGACAAGCCTGAATGACCAGGTGTGTGGTGGGAGAGGCAGTTGAGGGGGACAAAGGAGAGAAAAATCAAAGCAGACTAGAGATTGCTGGCCTAGATTCCTGAGAACACAGCAGCCCTCTAAACATGGTAGGAAGCTGGATCCTGAGGATGTGTGGCCAAGGGCAGCAACAGTGATTTGAAGAGGTGCCTGTCCTCAGGGCACCAGGCAGCCTGGCCCTACAAAGCTCTGGCCACCCTGCAGACTTTTGTGAGTCAGCCAGGACAGTCTGGCCGGAGGCTGTGACCCAGGCTTGGGATGACCACCCACCTTCACTGTCAGTTCCAACATCTGCCTGCGGATCTCCACTAAGGACCCTCCAGCACTAGCCATTTGCTTGTGTTTAAAAACTATACCCATGTGTAGGATGCTTTTAGACCTGCCTCTCCCAGGATGAGCCATCCAAAGTTGGCAGAGTGATTTGGGGTGCACCTTAGAACAACCCCGACAGTAATCTGATCATAGTTCTGATGAAGTGTATGAAAAGTAGGGTGCACGTGGTCAGGGACAGCCTTACTCCCAAGGTCAGGAAGCCCTTCCATATCCAACAAGTCATTGAATCTTTTCACTTCCTGCTACAACCACACAAAAAAGGAATTTTTACCCACCTTAAATAGGACCAGGACCTGAGCCTAGGTGCTGTGCATCCACATTGAGCTCTCACCTTCCAAATTCTTTCCATCCCTGGTAGCCACATCAGGGTGGTTCTGCTGGGCAGCACCTTCCTCTTACCAAGGTCACTCTCAGGAAGAGCCATGGTTTGGGGTCTGTGTTAGCCAGTTTTCCATCACTGTAACAAAATATCTTAGATAATTGACTTGTAAAGAGGGTTATTTTGGCTTATGGTTTTGGAGGGTTCAGTGCATGGTTAGTTAGTTGGCCTAGTTGCTGCGGGCCTGTGGTGAACAGAACATTATCGCAGGAGGAAGCCATTCACCTCATGGCAATCGGCAAACAAAGAGAGAGGAAGAGACCATGGGACCAATATCTCCTTCAGGGGCATGGCCCCAATGCCCTAACTTTCTCCAGCGAGGCTCACCACCTCACGATAGTGCCATGGGCTGGGGACCAAGGCTTAGGGGACACTTCAGATGCAGACTATAATGGAGTCACACCTGCATCAGTGTGAAGTGTGTGATCCATTGAATCCATGACCAGCTCAATTCCTGGAGGCCAGGGCTCCCTGTGGGAAGGGCGGAGGGCAGAGCAAAGTGAGAGGGGCTAGTCTGTAGGGCCAGGGTCCAGCAACAAAGATCCAGGAACCCTCTCTGGATTCCCTTTGCTACTGCCTGACCCAGATGGGAGATCTCTGGAGGGGAATGTGGAGTTCATTTGCACCTTAACTCTGCCTTTCATGGCTGGCTGTATAATCGTGTTCCAAATAGGGTCTGCCTCTTAATCCTGTGTTCTAGAAACTGGGATCAGTGTGGCAGTCTTACTTTGCTTTTCTTCAAGAAAAGAGGATGATGGCCACAAACCCAGCCTTCCTTAAATATTTTATGTAACTTGTGAATTTTTTTTTAAAAAACACGATTAATTTTCCCCTGGGCATGTGCCATCGAGTTATTAAACATCTGTCAACTTCGGTTAGGGTCTGAGGACAGTGCCAACTTTTGGGATGTATCAGTACATCTCGATCTTGGCGGCAGACTTGTTTTGTACGTATTAACATCCTCTGATCTCATATACTCATTCATTCATCAACTATTTATTGTGCAAGACCTTACCACGATGCTGTGAGTATACATGTTTTGGTTTCCTAGCGATGCTGTAGCAAAGCACCAGGAGCTTGGTGGCTTACAATAATAGAAGTTTGTTCTCTTCCAGTTCAGGAGGCTGCAAGCCTAAAATCAAGGTGTCCACGGTCTATCGCCCCCAGGAAAGCTCTGTGAAACCTGGCCTCCTCCTGGCTTCTGGGGGGTGCTGGCAATGGTTGATTCTTTGGCTTACAGTCACATTGCTCCAACCTCTGCCTCTGTGGTCACATGGTATTCTCCTCGAATCTCTGTTTTCTTTTCTTATGAGGACGCCAGTCAGTGGATTAGGGCCCACCTCACTCCAGCATGACCTCAGCCTGGCTAATCATATCTGCAAAGGCCCCATTTCCTGACAAGAGTGAGGCAGTTCGCAGTGCATGTGAAGGCCGTGGGAACTGTTTACCCAGTACGGTTTCTCTCACAGAGCAGCAGGAGAGAAGCTTTGCGGTAGGGGTCTAAGGATGTAGTCCTGCCTCAGGGAGCTAGCTAGCCCCAGAGAGGATGGAGAGAACACGTCTACTTGCCTACAGGATGGGGCGTGTCACCTAGCCCCAGGTTCCCGAGCCTACACAACGGGTCATGCCCACTTCAGTAGGAATGATGGGTCCCAGCAGGTGTCACCAGGATGAGCAGCTTTGAGGGTTGATCGTGATAGGAGGTTGACAGAGGGCATCGAGGGCTTTTAGACTTGGAATGGTCAGTGGTAGAAGGTTCTAGAAAGGGTGTGCCAGATTGACCTGGCCTGAAACCACAGCTCCTTCACTTGTTAGCTGGCGGTGTGGCCCCAGACAAATAAATTCCACACCTAGCTTGGTCATGAGGACCAAGTCCCGTCACACATGCCCTGAAAGGCAGCCCCACTCAGGAGCAGGTAGAAACCACACAACCCCGTGCCTAGCAGAAGTCCAGGTGTGTGCCCACCTCTTCCTCCTGGCCTTCACCAATGGGAACCAAGGGCTGGCTCTTCTGTCCCTGATGTCCCCTCGATGGCCATTTCCCTGACCCAGGGCTCCACGGCCTCTCTCCTGGACAGTCTGCAGCCCCTCCCTCCTGCTCTGATCCGCTTCCCACAGGGCAGCCTTGTGTGTAGCTTGGACGAGACTCTTCTCTGGGCCCCTGCTGTGGCTTCTGCAGCACTTGGTCAGGGTCAAGTGCAGCTTTTGGGCTGGGCCTCCAAGACCCACACTTTCCCACCCCACCTCCTCCACCAACTACTTGTCCCATTCGGGCTTCCATAGCTCTGTCTTCTGGGATTTCTCCCCTTGCCAGGACTCTCCCTTTCACCCTGGCTTAGTCATCACCCGCTGCTACCACAACAAAATGCCCCAGGCATTTGTTTCTGGTCTGGAGGCTGGAAGCCTGGGTTCGGGAAAGGGCTCCCTTCCTGGTTTGCAGGCAGTTACCTTCTGTGTGTGTGTGTGTGGTGTGTGTGTGCATGCACATGTGCGTGTTAGTGCACAAGCTCTCGAGTGTCTGGTGAAGCCACTAATCCCGTCTCAAGGACCTCACCCTCATGGCTTCCTGTAACCCTAATCCCCTGCCCATGGCCCCATCTCCTAAACTGTCCCACTGTGGAGGACTTCAATGTATGGATTTGGGGGCACACAGGTGCTCCGTTCATAATACACACACACACACACGCACACGCACACACGCACACCCATAACCAGCTCTGGTTTCTCCTTGAGATTGCACTTGCAAGTTATTTCCACCAGGAAGCCTTCCCTGATGTCCCCAAGACTGAAGTAGGTGCATTGACATCCTCTGGGTTTCCAAAGCATCATCTCTGGGACCCTTCCTCCCATCAGAGAGGGAGTCTTTGCTTCCTCAGCAGACATCCGGCCCCACCCAGAAAGCAGCTCTCTAACCTTGGTGTGGGTTTCAACCTTCCAGGACCACCGGGACCCAAAGGTGACCGGGGGGATGAAGGGAAGGAAGGGAAGACTGGCATCCCTGGACTACCCGGACTCCAAGGTAAGGGCGCGTGAGTCAGACACCTGCCCTGTCCGTCCTACTGCTCAGTGACAGCCTGCAGACCCAGTGGCTGGAGGGGAGGGCACTTTGGGACCTTCTAGAAAGACTGTGCTGTCCTTAGACTCAGTTATCCCAGAAGCTCCTGCTCGTTTATGGCGGAGTCTGCGCCGCCTGCAGCATCTTTCAGACTTCGGAGTGGAGGACAGAGGGGAAATGTAGAGGGCAAGGGGTCTGGGAGCATAGTATAGGAGCCACACTGCTAGAATTTCTGGGGGGCAGAGGAGGGTGAGCCAGGGGACCAGGACCAGGACCGAGGATGGAGAGCCCCAGCCCGGCCTTTACTCCCGCCACCCCCTCAGAGGAGCGCTGAGAACTCAGTAGGGTGCTGCGTCCCCACTTACTCTACCTAACGAATCCGAGGGTGGGGAGCTTGGGCACATCCTGTGTCAGCATCAGACTTCTGTGGCCGCAGGACCACCGGACTCTGGGAGCAGTCACCTCCCATTAGGAAGGGAATGGAGGGAAGTCCGTCACCCTGTCTGTGGCCTTTCCACCACCCAGAGGCCCTGCTCCCCTGCTCGCCCTGGGACCGGGCCCTGGAGGAATAATCCCGACGAGGCGTTCTCAGGTCCCCTGAAAAGAACCCCGAGGACAGCCAGGCCAGCTAGCTTTCCCAGCAGGGGAGGACAGTGGGTAAAGGGTGTGCTGCCTAGCAGAGATAAGTCTGGGCTGAGGCCAGGGCCCCAGGAAGCCTGGACTCTCGCTTGGTGAAGGCGTCTGTTGGTCTTGGCTCTCTGCAGTGCAATCAGCACTGGCCGCGGCCATCAGCCTCGTGGCCAGGAGCCTGGGGCCCAGTCAGGCACAGGCCATGTGTCACTTATTGACCTATGGGTTCCTCACCCTCTGTGCCTCCGGTGCCCTTTGCATGGTTCTTTCTTTACATAGAAAGGAGCACTATATCATTTTCCCCAGTAACAGCCATCCCCGCCCACCTCCCTAAGGACCAGTAGGCATCTTTGATCCAGCAGGAGGTGAGGCGGACTGTGAGCTCCCTGTTCAGGAAGCTCAGATCCTGCCTCCAGCACTGTTGGCTCTGTGCCCTTGGGCAGGTGGCTTAACCTCTCGGGCCTTGATCGCCTCACAAGCAGTACAGGTAAAATAATTTGGTGCAATGACTCAATGAGATTCTTTAGGCCTGACACACAGAAAGCGTTCCAAAAATGTTTGCCGAATCTAAATGTCCAGCAGTACAGAGTGGGGTTGGTACCATCACCATTGCTCACAACAGAACCGGCCTTTCAGTGGGGAGGGATCCAGGCCTAACTGACGAAAGAGGGAGCTCTCAGTTAACTAAGACACCTCGGGAGGCAGCGGTGAGGCAGGATGCGTGGTTGTGGTGACCACTGAACCAGACAGTGACCTCTCAGGACCTCCGAGGCCTGAGTCTGAAGCTCCACAACTGTCTCCTCTTCCCCCCAGGTCTGCCAGGCGAGCGGGGCATCCCAGGACTGCCCGGCCCCAAGGGCGACGATGGCAAGCTGGGGCCCACTGGCCCGATGGGCTTGCGCGGGTTCAAAGGTAAAGGCAAATCTCACTGCACCTTGGCCGCACACAGGAGGCCGGTAGGTGCACCTGGGGGCACATCGCGTCTCTGCCTGGGAGCGACCTGGAGCCCGTGTCTTCGCCCCACTAAGCTTCAGTTTTCCATCTAAAACTAGCAGCTTTCAAGCTGCCAGGCTGCCTGGGGCTGCCTCCAGGAGAGTGTTCATGTGTGAAAATGTCTTCAGACTCTTTCTGGAGACACAAGGGGTGTCACTGCGGGCTTCGATCTACAGCAGTAACCCTAGGAAGGCCGCAAGGGGTGCCCAGGACAAACATAGAGGCCCCTCCTCCCCATTTACTGCCAGATTCCTCCCCTTCTGCAATACTCCATGTCCCCCAGTATTTGCAACTTTAATTCACTTCTCAGGCTTATGTGACCAACAGTGTTTCTTCTGATTGTTTTTTCTTCCTATGGATAGTGCCTTGTTCAATTTTAGGGGAACCTACTCAGTCAGTCCGTGTTCTTCCATTTTCTTTCAAAACCATTAGATGTCCCATCATCACTGCACAAGACAAGGACATCCAGTGCTCTTTCCCCAAGCTTCCTATTCTTCTCTCGTTTCAGTGACAACCTAGAAAACACTATTGCTAATTATCCTCACCTTGGGTCTTTGTACAAAGAATAAAGCAGAAGTCCTTTCCCCCTCAGTCCCTTCAGGTCTTACTCTTTAGAATAACCACTGTAAACTCTTTGGAGCACATCCTGCCAGACTTTTCTCTGAACACATTTATATACGTATATGAGAATTTTTTTTTCAAATCTAGGATCATGCTAGGCATTCTCTTCTAGAAATTTCTGACTTGCATTTTTCACCCATAGTATGCTGTAGGCTTTTGGTTTGCAGATGGTGTTCTGGAGATCCTTAGAATAGAATTCCCAAGTTGTGCTAGGATTTTCTACTTCTTTGTAGAGCGAGCAGCCAGCCGGGGAAGAAGCTCTGTTCTTCTAACCATGTCCTGGGAAGGAAATTCTATAATTCCCTGGAATCTCTCACTCATGTTTTCTAGTCTGCCCTACCGGAAAATCTGCCTGGCATGTAACCCGTGTCTCTTCCTATGTAACTGAAGCCCACTCCTGTTTCCTCCCCTGTGCTCATTGGAACAAACTTGGATGTGAACTTGTAAAACCTGGACTTTTTAATAGCAATATTTTTGCTTTGTCCCCTTCCTGCTAAATACTGTGTGCTCTTTGAGGTTATATGGCAGATGCTGCTCTTCTATGCTTTCAGAGATGAGAGTTTCTCAGCTGGGCCCCTCCTCTTTCCAGGGGTGACCAGAGCAGTGGCATAATTGGTGGAGTTCTTCTCTTGCCTGCTGTGCCCCCTGGTTGCTGCTGGCTCCTGCCTGAGGGTTTCTCCAGCCTGGGGTTAATTAATAAGTCTACAGATAAGGCTTAATTAACAATTAGAATTTGTTTCTACTTCTAATGCCATGGTTCCTCCTGTGTTTTAGGTGACCGAGGCCCGAAAGGAGAGAAGGGAGAACGAGGAGACAGAGCAGGAGATACCAGTAAGGAGTTCTGCGGGGTCACCGGGGGCTATGTGGGCACAGGTGGGCCAGTGGCCCATGCAGCCCCGAGAGGTTGCCAGTCCAGGGGCCACAGCCATGCATTCATTGGGCTCCAGTGTGAATCAGTGGCCTTCCCTATCTTAGGGTTCTACTGGTTCTTCAGGGAATATTGACGGATCCCAGGGACACAGGCAACTGTTGTAAAGTGGCATCGGCCTATGGTGTGTGGCTGCATCTGGAAGCCTCCTCCTGACTGCCTCACTGCCTGGCGATGTATAATCTCCATGCCTCCATTTTCTCAGCCATAAAATGGGGCCAAGAAGAGCCCTTATCGCTGAGGCTCAGAGTGAGAATTAAATGAGTTGATCCATGAAAAGTACTTAATACAGTGTTTGGACATGGGCTTAGGACTCGTCAAGTGTTATTATCATTCCAGGTACTGCACCAATTCAGACGGACTTCCTAAGGCAACCAGACACGGGTGCTCAGATTCTGTTACTCACTTTGTTAAAATGCCTGCCTTCCCTGGGAGTTGCATGAGACCAGGTGGAATCTCTCCCATTTTCTCCTTGCCAAAAGGCTGGAGAGCTGGGTACCTGGTAGACTGCCCAGTAGCCTGAGCACCCCTCTGTCAAGGTCCCTGCTGAAAGGGGTTCGAGAGGCGCTGGCTTATCTAGTGGTGGCAGCTTCTCCAGGGCATATTTTCCCCAGAGGGCTATGTGTGGCATCTTGGAGAGGTTGCCAGGGAAGAATGAATCGCGTCTTGGACCCAAGTTTGAGCCCGAAGCAGAACACCCGGCACATCTCGCTGTTGGCTTGTAGCACGAGAGGGCCTGAGTACATCACTACCTCCCTGGCGTCTGTGTTCCAGCCTTGGCTCCCGGAGGCCTAGGCCTGGTAGGGCGCCTGCGGGACCGCTGAGGAGTCACAAGCTGGACCCCAAGCAGGGCTCCCTAAGGGGCGGGGTGCTGGACCTGTCTTTGGGTGGGTTGACTGTTCCTGATAGGCTGCTGCCAAGGTAGCTGAGAAAGATTGTGGCATTTAACTCAGAGAAATAAACAACGCCGAACAGGCTGGGCAGGAAGGGAGGGACTGCGTAGAAAGATGACCTTTAGAGGGAGATCAGAGACGCTGCCCACATACCAGAGGGGTCTTGTCAGGAACTCCCTGGCTTTGCTGCTTTCAGCTGACCTAAGAGGAGGAAGTGGAGTCAGCCCGGAGACCATGCACGAAGGATGCTCTGGTTGTGACTTACCTGGCTTCCCTGGCAGAGGGCTCTGAGGTGGGAGCATAGCGTGGGCAGGTGGGAGCCAGAGCCCAGTGAAGTGGGGTTCCCTGGGAGGGGTGGAAGACCTGGACAAGAGCACCCCGTTACTTGGCTCTCGGGCCTGCTGGCTGCACCGCCAGAGGCTGGCATCAGCTCTGGACGCCCCTCTCCAGGGCCTTGAAGGGACTACACCCTGCGGGGAGCCCAGAGCCTAGACAGCCCAGGGCTCACACAAAGCTCTGAGCTTTTCCCTTCCAGGACCTTAAAAATGGCCCCTGGACGATGGAACTGGAAGGCGAGGGGCTGAACGATGGCAGTCATTGACTGGAAACTGTTCCCAGTGTGAGGAATCTGGGGGCCCCCTGGAATCATGGATCATCCTCCCTCTCATCCAGACTCAAAGAGAGGACAACTTCTCTGTGTCATTATGTGGGGCAGAGGTGGAACTGAACCCTGGGTTCCCTGATTCATCCCCTGGGTGTTGGACCGTGGGTTCTTGAAAAGTGGGGCTGGACTCCTTAACATCACCCTGTGGCTTCCTGCCTGCCTGCCAGCTCTGGATGCAAATGCAGCCGCTGCGGGATCCATGGCCATTGAGGTTCGGGCTGAAGTCTGGATCTGTCCCAGTCAGGTTCCTTCCCATAGCTGCTGCTGCCCAGGCCGCCTCGACCAGGCCAACCTCAGCTGTGTTCAGATTCCCACTGAGTTCCCAAGGCTGTCCTGTCCCAGAGGTGTTAACTATATCCCTGAGACCCGGGCTTGGAGGAGAGGCCCAGGGCTCATCTTTCAAGGAAGTGCGGAAATGCTGACGAACACGGTGCCCATTTCTGGGGCTTTCTTAGTCATCCCGGGGCCTGGGCAGCCCCACCATGGAATCTTTAATGTGGAAAGAAAAGGCTCTCAGCACCAGGGAGCTGCCTTCCTCCAAAGGCCAGCTCTGTGTGGCAGGGAGCACTAACGGGTCTGCTGTGGTCACCAGCTTTGCTCCGCGCCTCCGGTGTCTACCTGGGCTCCAAAACCTGACAGTCCAGCAGATGGGCCTGTTACTTGTCGGTGACAAGCCCAAAACAGCCTCCCAGCCTGTGGGAGGAGGTCAGGAGGTTTTCCTTTGAGGAGGACATGAGAGAGAAATCCTCTCAGGACCTGAGTTTTGAGTCAATATTGAAATATTTTTCAGAACAAAAATCTTGCCATTGTTTACCCATGTTTTGATCTGGAGTCATAGGATTTGGGGGTTTGGATGGGTTACAGATCAGTTCCTCTCCCTTTCCCAAGCTCACCCCACCCCACCCCACCAAGCTCCCTGAGCAGAGACCAAGAACAGAGAGGTGGAGGAATCGCAAGGTCACCTCCCCCCTTTTAGATCATGGCCAAACTGGGTGTAGATTCCAGATCCTTGATGTCTGCTTGGTGAGAAGGAAAGCTTCCCCCAACTCCCAGGCCAGGGCAATATCAGTCATTGCATTAGATGTTTGGCTTTTGGAAGTTTGGCCAGGAAAAAAAAAAGTTCCACATACACATCTAAAGAGGGAAGGACATTTATTTTACCATGATATATGGTCCATTTGCAGGAAAAATAAATCGTATCTTGCAGCGAGAGGGTAAGTAAAGGATCTAGTTGTGTTTAAATCCCATGGCATGAATTTAAAGCAGGGATATACATTCAGATTGTTTAAAAGACTATTCTCAATTTGGTTTCACATAGAGAAAATATGCAGATGATATAAGGGTGAATTCAAAGCCAGTGTTGTGATAATTATCATTGGATGCTCAGAAAGCTTGAAAATATTTAATACGTTGTGTATATTTGGAGAAGTTTAGGGATAGGACCCTGGCATGCACTCTAACATATGGCATAAGTTTAAAATAAATAATCAAGGAGGGAGCTCTACAGCATTTTCCCCGGAGCTGTTGAGATGTTTCTATCTCTGTTTTAGAATGAAGGAGGCACTGAGAATTCTTAAGAGTGTGTAAACTCACTTCCTCCCATCCCTGCCCTGGGGAATTTGTTTAGGATAATGCCACACCACAAATGAGCCTTATCTCAGGCCTGGAGATACAGGGGCCCTGCCCCCTTTATGTACAAGTAATATTTCTTTATTTAACTATGTGTGGGGCCTTAATTTCTCATATAACTTGAACACTCCAGCAATGGCATGATCTAGGAGTAAATCACACCTCTGAGAAATTAACCATTCCCATAATACTGCACTACTAACTTCCGGTTGTGCTGGGATGTTGAGAAGCATGGCTCCTGCAGCCATCATGTCCTTAGCTCTCAGGGCAACTTGTCTCTTACATGGTTACATCCACGGTAGGAACAGGAGGAGGCTGGGGGTAGGGAGGATAAGGAACCTGCTGGCGGACACCAGGGATCATAAGAGACAGAACCAGTTTGAACCGGGCCTGTATGGCCTGGGCCCTACACTATCCATCCTTCTGCCACGGTCTCTGATTCTCTTTTGTTCAGCCGGAGTCTTCATGGGCTGCTCTGTCTATCCCGAGAGTTTAAAATGAAGGTGCTCATTTCTTCCTTAGCAATTCTCCGGTGCTTTTAAAGTACTCTTCTCTGGGTCAGAGTTTGCCGCTCTTCACCGGCCTTGGCTGCCCTCATCGTTTCTGAACTCTGAGCTGGGCCCCAGCAGATTTCCCAGCGAAGCCTTCCCAGTCTGTATGCCCTTCACACACATCCTGGGTGTGCACTGGGCTGAGCCCGTGAATGCCAAGGCACCTGCATGCGTCAGGCAGTCTTCACGCCTGTGTGCATTTGCTCAGTTTATGTGTTTCTTCATTCTCATAGTCTCTAGTAATTGCTCAGCAGATGCAAATGCAAAAGTATATGAGATATGATTTAAAAAATACATTAAATGTACAAATTTAAAATTTTTTTATTACACCAAATGACAGACAATTGCCATTAATCCCCCTCAAAATACTCTCCCTCACTTTCAACACAGATATCCCATTGTTCTTGGCACTTTCTGAAGCAGTTCTGCAAGTCTTCTTTTGTGAATGTCTTTAGTTGTGCCGCCATGGCTGCTTCAATGTCCTAATTGATTCACAATGTTTACCTTTTGTGGTCATTTTGACTTTGGGGAAGAGCCAGAAGTTGCACAGTGCCAGATTAGTGAATAAGGTGGACTAGGACACAGCAGAATGTTTTTACCAGCCTGCCTTTCCTTTGGATGGCACTCGGCCAGCAGCACTTGCTGTATCTTTTATCACATCTTGTAAAGACACTCGTGAAAGAGAATTTCCGGAACTACTTCAGAAAGTGGCAAGAACATGGGATAAGTGTGTTCAAAACAAGAGGGAGTATTTGAGGAGGATTAATGGCAACTATGTCTTTTATTGTGATAACTTTTTTAAATGTGTCATTCACTGTACTTTTCAGTCACCCCCTTGAACATGGAAATGGAAAAGTCCTTCTCAATGACTTCCCTCCCAAAGTTTATGTCTAGTGACTGAAAAAACACACAGACACAAAATTCACTTTGGAAAATTGTCCTGAGGCAAAAACCACAGCATAATGGGGAGACAGCAGAGAGACAGAAAACAGGAGCTCAGGACAGTGGCCAATGAGATAATGTTGGGAACAAATTGAAACTGAGCAGAGCAAGTTTTGGGGAGAGCAGGGATCCGAGCGCATGGGCCTGTCAGAGCTGCTGGGAGAGGCAGAGGTCACAGAGACCGAGGGGCACACAAAGGAAGGGGAAACTGGCCTCCCTTTTCT